CAGAACAAAATAAAACAAACCAAAACCAAACTGGTTGGCAATCCGACTCGAAACATAAGAAAGAAAATCAAACCGTGGTGGGGTTGCCTCCCCACAAGCGCTTCTTTACCGTCTTTTAGCTGGACGCCCATGGTGGATACTCAGGGAAGTGCAGGAACAGGTGCCTCCAAGAGCGGATCCACATCGCTCTTGAGGTACAGCTTCAGGTGGTGACCATGCACCCGACGGTTGCAACCACCAGCAGAAGTCAGCTCGACCTGGCCATCCGGCAAGATGCAGGCGAGTGAGTACTCGGATGGCCAGGGTGGTCGTGGTGCGGGGGGTGGGACCAGCTCATAGTGGGCCCCACTCTTCTTTCGTGCAGGCTTAGCCACTTGCGGCTTCGGCCGCCACTCCTCCTTGAGATTTTTGTTCGAAGGCGAGGCTGGATGGAGTGGCGGCGGAGGAATGATAGGCGGGTCCTGCAAAATGAGAGGTGCAGAAGGATACACGACAGGCTCGTGTATCTGGTCAGAAATAGCATGCACAGGCGATACAGAAATCATAGCACAATGATCAGACTCAGTCACAGGAAAAACAGCCTGTTCATTTCCAGCACGCAAGATCAGTTTACCATCATGCACATCAATCAGTGCCTTGGCGGTGGCAAGAAATGGTCTACCTAGAATCAAAGGCACATCCACATCATCATTTATATCCAGAATAACAAAATCAACAGGATATGTGAATGCACCCACATTAACAAGCAAATCTTCTATGATACCCCTAGGATGCACCACAGAACGATCAGCTAGCTGAATGCTCATCCTAGTAGGGCTAAGTTCACCTAGGTCTAGCTTTGTGAACAATTTGTACGGCATGACATTAATGCTAGCGCCTAGGTCCGCCAAGGACTTTCCTACATGCATGCTGCCAATAGTAAGAGGGATAGTAAAACTCCCTGGATCCTTGCGCTTTTCGGGCAGCTTGTTCTGCAGGATGGCAGAACATTCCTCGCTCAGCAGCACTGTCGAGAGATCCCCAAGATTTTTCTTGTTGGTGCAGAGATCTTTCATGAACTTAGCGTACTTGGGCATCTTCGACAGTGCCTCCACAAATGGTACGCTGATGTTGAGCTGCTTCAACATTGCCATAAAATTGGCAAACTCAGTCTCCAGCTTGTCCTTGTGAAGGCGAGTGGGGAAGGGAAGCTGGGGTACGTGCTCCTTCACCACTGGTTGCGGCTTGGGAGCAGGGGCTTCCTTCTCCACCCGCACTTCTGCATCACCGGCTGGAAGTGCTGAAGCAGGTAATGGTTCCTCCTGCCTGGTCGGGGCAGGATCAGCTGATGTAGGCCTGCCGCTCAGGGTGAAAATGGCATGTGCGGTCTCGTGCGGGTCCCGTGGATTGGGGATGGTGGTGGCAGGTAGAGTCCCCGGGGCCCGAGCAGTAAGCTGGCGCGCTAGAACACCGACCTGGTGCTGTAGATCTTGCAAAATAGCACCCTGGTTCCTCTGCCCTGCCTCCAAAGAAGCTATGCTCTGGTCCACCCTTGCGAAATTCGCCTGGCTGGTGGTCATGAATGTCGCCAAAATGTTCTTCAGATCAGCCATCTGATTATCGGGAGCTGCGGCTGCTGGAGGCTGAGCAAACTGGCCCTGGGGCTGCTGGAATGGCTGCCCTTGCCTAGGCTGGTAGGGCTGCTGCTGTGGTGGTGGCCCTTGCCTATCCTGGTAGGGCTGCCTCTGCTGAAAACCACCTGCTGGTGCTGGGAAACCAGGTGGTTTGTTGGTGTTGTTGCTCCAGGCGAAGTTGGGATGCTGGCGCCATCCCTCATTGTATGTGTTACTGTATGGATCGAGGCGCCGAGCATTGGCGATGAAGGCCAACTGTTCTTGGGGAGTAGAGGACTCCCGCATAGCCTGGCAGTCCTCCACCAGATGGTTTGGGCTCTCACACCACTGGCACTGAACTACTGGAGGCGCAGCTACACCTCGGCCCGGAAGGAGACTGTTAGGCTGCTTCAGTGTCTGCACCAACTCAGCCACCTGCTGCTCTAACCCGGATCTGGCCTCCATAGCATGCACACCACGGTCCCGGGAGTGCCTGCCTCTACTGCTCTGCCCCCAGGAATGATCGCGGGCAGCCAAAGTACTGATCATCTGGTTCAGCTCGGGTGGAGTCTTAGTAAGGATATCCCCTCCTGGGCATAGAGACTCGATCACCCTCTGGCTGTCTGGGGTGATGGCACTGTAGAAGTTCCCCACTGTGAAAGCATCGCTGAAGCCATGATGGGGACACTGCCAGAAGTATCCCATGTACCGCTCCCATGCATCACGAAGGGACTCATCTGGCTCTTGGCGGAAGTGAGTGATCTCCCGCTGAATCTCAGTAGTCTTCGATGCCGGATAATATCTGTGCACGAACTTATCCGCCAGATCGTCCCAAGAAGTGATGGACAGTGGGGGCTGGGTCTCCAACCACCTCTTAGCATTCCCCGCCAGAGAATGGGGGAAGAGGTGAAGGCGGATTGCATCATCCGGAACACCATTCAGCTTGAACCCGTTTGTCAGCTGCAGAAAACGGGAAAGGTGTGCCCGGGCTTCCTCATCCTTCAAGCCATGGAACTGGATAGAGGATGTGATGAGCTGAATCCAGCCTGGCTTGATCTCGAAGTTATTTGCTGGGATGGGTGGATAGAGGATGACCGGGCGGATGTCAGCAATCCGCGGAGTGTAGTAGTACTCCAAGGTGGGACCCGGCGGTGGTGGTGGATGCTGATTCACCGGGGGAGCCTGTCGAGCATTCCCCGGTTGTGGGATGTCTTCGCCCTCCATCTCGTACTCTTCCTCAGAATCGCTGGTCAAGTGGCCGTCTATGCGCTCTCCCGTAACCAGTCTAGCTCGCTGCTGTCTCCTAAGTTGGCGGCAAGTGCGTTCAAGCTCTGGATCCAACGGCAGTAAACCTCCTGACTGGCTACGGGTCATGCACTACCTGCACACACTCAAGCAAGCAAACCCGTGAAGGCACAAGTGGGACAAAGCAAAAACTCAATGCAAAAATGAAAATGCTAAAGTAACAGAAATCACTTTTCTTCAACAACCTAGCCGTCCCCGGCAACGGCGCCAAAAACTTGACTCACTCCTACTGTCACCCTAGAAAATGGCCAAGTATAACCACTTCCTAAAGCGTAGTATAGCGGGTCGGGTTTTAATGTCAACCCGGGTCCTAGATGTGATGACTACTCGGTGAATTCTTGTTATTTAGCAGTGAACTTTTAGTGAAACTCAAGCAAACAAAACACAAAGCAAGTAAACGGTTTGTTGTCAAGTCAAGAGAGGTCACCCGGATATGGTTTCCCCCTAGACTGCAGTTAAGTCGGATTGCAATTTGCCAAGTTCAGTTTTCATGAAAGTTATACTGCGGAAGGTTCTCAATTAGCCTGAAGTCTCGACTAAAGGTCTCCAGACCCTCTCAATCTGAGTCTCTAGCGGGCGACTAACCTCCACCGGAGTAAACAGATTGAGGCCCTAATGAACCAAACCTCCACTACCGAATCGACTTCGGTACAGAATAGCGAATTGGCTCCTCGACTAAAGTCACCAATTCGCTACCTTCGATTAAGGGTACTCTATCAACCTAGGCAGATATTCTCATTCCAGGTTAAAGCAGAAACAACAGGAATTTGATCAGGATTCAAGTCATTCAATCAATCAAACCTCAATCGAATATAATCAATTCACAAACACTGTACTTGGGTTCATACAATCAGACCTAGCATACAAATCTAGGGTTCTCCATACCCAGATGAATGGGGAAACTACTCCATAGAGAAAGAAGCAAAAGCAGATTCAGACACGGAAATCATACTGTGAAGTTGGATTCCTGCTCCTGGTCGTTTAATCGCACTTCTCCAAGCTCAAGACGGGCTCCAATGGTGTTGAAGATCGATCTATGGCGCTTGAGAACTCTGGTTCGTCGCTTTCTCTCTCTAGGTATCGGTTTCTCTCTCAAAAACTCGGAACCCTTTGAAAATTGGCCTTCTTCTTGTTTTATCAGCTGCCTGTCGCGATACCCGGTCAAAATACCCGGTCGGGTATTTTATGGTTCGACCGGGTATTTTATGAAACGCACCGTCTGACTAAGGGAAAAATCCCCGGTCTACCACCAAAATCCCCGACCGGGGATTTAAGGCCTTCGCCCGGGCCCCCTTCTGTTTCTCACGGGGTGCCAAAACGATAAATACCCGGTCGGGTATTTTGCCATCCGACCGGGTATTTTCCTCCTGCAGCCCCCTTAGTCCCAACTCGGCTCCTTTCGACCCAGAACTCGTTTCTCCGCCTCGATTCCAACGCCGGGACCTGAAATATGACACAAACACACAACCTGGCGTAAAATCGGCTTAAAACACGAGATTCCTCAGCACAAACGGCTCCAGAATAGGGGTGAAAATATGTATAATTATCGGTCTATCAGCGTCCAAGGCTTAAGATAGTGTGCATAACCTTAGGGTGCATAACTATGAGTAACCAAATCTGGACCCTTCTTTCAAGTGACTACAGATTAAGGTTTGTATATTAAAGACATTTTCCCTCTATTTTTCTTAATCGGATCATATCTTCTTCATTCTAACTCGGATTTCAATTTTTTTCTTTTTTTGCACAGATGGAACGAGTTCGTTGTGCTCTATAAAATGAGATCAATTTTCAATGTTTTTTGAGGAATTTTTTTTCAAAGCAGACCCTTTTGATTGAAGAAAAGGGAACAACCCAACGAAGAAACATGAAAGAAATAATTGACCAGAGAGAGAAGAATCAACAAAAGTCAGAGGCTGGCCGTGTAACTGGAACAACAAATTTCTTAATAGGCAATTTTCTGTGCATACCCACTAGAGATTTGGATCGCAGGCCGTAGCATATCAACCTCAGACTGGATTCAACGAACTCGTCTTCCACCAACCTCATCCTCATACTATCTACTTATGAAACCCCAAAACAATCAGCACTTTAAGATTTTCATTCACACTCAATCACCTAGTCTTAATTGCTTTTTGATGGAATCCGACTTCTGCACCTCGTCGGTGTTATCTCCACCTAAAATGGAAACAAACACAACATTGTGAGGAAGGAAGAGATAGAACAAACCATCAAAGAACAACTGATGGTTTCTGATAGTCTCTGCGATACGCACCGAGCGATTAGCAAACAGATCCCCCGCCAAAAAGCCCACCATATATTAAATCTAGATTCCTTTGAATCGATTGGACCTAGAAAATAAAAACCTGAAATCAAAGGGAAGAAAGAAGCAAACCTCGTCTTTCAACATGTGAAGGAAAATGGAAGAACCCATGACTTGCCAGAATTCCATAGAACAAGTCGAATAGAAACATACAGGACGGCGCTGACGGATTGGTTGTTGCTCTAGCAGGTTACTGATCGAACGGAAGGAAGATGGATATATAGCTTAGTTTGGCCCTGCTGTAGCTTTTGCAGAAGCAGCTTCTGGCTGGAGCTTTTAGATAAGTACTTTTCAAAAAAAGCAGTTTAGTGTTTGGCTGTAAAACTATTAGAAGTGCTTTTTAATATGAGCGGTTGTGTAAAATGACTATAAAGGACTTATAATATAAAATATAAATAAAAATTCGAAACAATAAAAAGTAGTCAAAATGGATCTTGTTAGATTTCTTTTATATTAAATAATATGATTTTATAATTTATTTTATTTTTAAAATGATATAAATGAAGGAAAATTATATTTTCTGAAATAAAATTAAAATATGGTAAGGATAATCTTGTATTTTCAAAACAGCTTTTCGCAGAAGCTCCAAATCGAAGCTTCTGCTTTTATGTTATACAAAAGCGCTTTTCGGCTTTTCAAAAGCCGAGCTTTTAGAGGTGTTTGCCCTGCTTAAGCTTTTGAAGCCGAAAAGCACTTCTAAAAGCCGGGCCAAACATAGGCATAGTGAAGTTCTCGAGTTGAGAGGGAGAACAACACCAAATAAATGGATCCAACTGGAGATGAGGGAGAGAGAAGTCGAGATGGCGAGATCCTATTCTTGTGAGGAAGGAAGGACAACCGCTGCCGGAGTGACGGTTGTGGGTTTAGTTTAACAAACCACAGTGTCACTGAATTGGAGATGAAAGGACAGAATTGCCCATCCGCAAAACCCTCACGCTGCAGCAAATTCAAATCTCTGAATTTTCAACCCATGTTTTGCCATTATATATTTTGTAGATGTAGACGACTTTCTTACTGGCCAATGTTTGGGACTATATCGACTTCCTTACCGGCAAATTCAAATCTCTGATTATACTGCGGAAGATCCGAGAGTAGCTTGGAATCTCTTAAGCTGACCAAGCCCTCTCAGTCCAACTACCCGGCACACGACTAGTCTTCACCAGGATAGAAAACCGAGGCTATGAACACAGAACTCCACTACTGGAATTAGATTCCAGTACAAAGCAGTGAATCGACTAACTCTCGTATAATCGATTCACTACTATCAATTGAAGAAGCTCTAACAACCTAATCAGATTCTATCTATCTCAGGTTGCAGCATAAATCAATAAAAGGTGATCAGACTTCAATTGACTCAATCAAAACACTTCAATTGATTATAATCAAGCAATATCACAATCCAAACGTAATTACATCAAGATTCCTAACACATGGAACTACGGTTCTTCATACCCAAGTGAGAGAGAGTTCTACTCTATAGAGAGAGAGGGCAAAACAGAATACAAAGCAGTCATACTCATAACAATGAGAAGAATCTGCTCTGGGATGTCAGTCTTCACTCCTATGATGATCTCCAAGCTCGATTTGATGAAACCCAGCTCCAAGATCGCTTCTAGTATGTGTTCTTCGTACTTTCTCTCTCTAGGGCTCTGTTTTTGCTCCAAAAAGTCTACTCCCTCTTCTTTGGCTCGAATCTGCCTGAAAAACCCGATTCCGGGCGAATTATGGGCTGAATTACGGTCGTAATTCTTCCATGGCCGTATTTTGCCCAAAACACGCGATTTGGTTAAGTTTCAGCGCACCCAAAGCTCCTCTCGGCAGTGAAAATACGGGCATGGGAGGGGAAAATACGGTCGTAATTCTCCTGCCCGTAATTCTTCCTCCGCTCCTGTTCAAAACTTCGTTTCTCCCTCGTTCGGACTCCGAATCAGTCGCCGTTTGAACCCAGACGCTCGTAGTCTCGTCCTCTTTCTTTTTATAACAAACTTCCATGATAATTTGTCCATAATATGAGGTATAAATCCATTATTCCTCAGGTCATGCTCGTGTTTCTTCTCCCGAATTGCCAAATGATCTCTGATTGACTTGAAACTTGCGCCTATGCTTCAATTTACATGCTAGGACCTGAAATGTGACAAAGGAACACAACCTAGCGTAAAATAGTCCAAGAAATCAAAAACTCAAGCCAAAATGATCAAGAAACGAGGGTGCAAACATGTGCAAATACGACGTTATCAAATTCCCCCACACTTAACTGTTTGCTTGTCCCCAAGCAAACCAAGTCAGATACAAGGAAAGCTCAAAAAATTTTAACCACGAAACCCTTGGGGACATATCATATCGGCACAAAACAGGTGAATCATACTGGCTTTTGATCCTTAACACATGGACAACTTCAACAACAACCTGGACAACCCCCACAAAGGACATTCGAGTGCAGCAAAATTGGGTAAAGGAAGAGGAATCCTTTCTGTTCACCAACCAACATAGACTCGACTCAACCACTTAACCAAGAAAGTCATCGCATGCATCAAATTCAAGACGTCAGAATCAAGACCGAGCCATCTAGGTCCTCACCGGGGTAAAGAGCATAGAGAATATGAGAAAATGAATCGCTCACTCTCGACCAGTGGGGTCAGGACAATTTGATGCGAAAAATGCGCATGCTTATTCTATCAATCCCTAACGTCTCTTCACCATGAAGGCAACCTCTAAATGTTAGAGTTCACATATTGGGTGTCACCACTAACTAATTCGGAGGTCTTAGACACAGGTTCAGATGACTGGCTAGGGTCTTGGACATGGGGAAAAGGCCTTTTAGGTGGTGGAAATATTCATAGCACAAGGTTCCATAGTTCCAAACCCAACACAATAACAGTCAATCAAACCAGTTACTTCCTTTCTGCCATTCTGCATTACTCAAGTTCTTTAGATCACAAGAGCGAAGGAGGTCATATAAATGTTAGCATTTCCAAGACAGACTGCTAAGTAACACTCCTTAATGGACTCTATTCATATTTTTGGTAGTGGCTCTCTTTTGCTTTCATCTTTTTCTTTGTTTTTCTTTCATTTTTTTCATTTCTTAAGAGAACCACCACCTCAAACACATGCCCAATTTTTAAGCACCACCTCCAACCCTCACATTATATTTAGCAGAAACAGCAGAGAACATGTTAAAACCACTCTGTGGAACCTTCTAAGAGATGCAAAAGGGTGATTTTCCAATGTAGACCGAAAGAAAGGATAACACACGGCTCAAAAGGGCTGACTAGGGGATATGACACATCAGGACAGTCAATTTGGTCGTGGGCTAATCCTATGCCTCCATCATCTTAGCTAATGACAACGTGAATTCTACACATCATGGAAGAGGGATCTATCGCACAAGAAAGAAACGAGCAGGCTCAAATCTCACATGGCTACCTATTTGCTCTATCTCTCATTCTGATTCCCTGAACTAGATGCATAAATGACTCGCTAAAACACAACTCCTAACAATGGCCAAGTGTAACCAATGAAAGGGACTGCAGTATAGTGGCTCAAGTAATAAATATCGAATCCACGGGTCTCTAGAGTTACTATTACTCAGCTTCAGTTCATTATCTAGCAAAACAGATTAAGATGAAAGAACTAAAACTACTCTAGCAAACTACAGTTAAAGTTAATCTAATTACAGGTTGGGACCTCACTTAGGTATGATTCCCCCTAGCCACTAGCCAGATTAACGATCGATGATTTCTAACTTGTTTCACTTCATTCACAATGCGGAGAATCCTTGACTAGACCTTGAGTCTCGACTAAAGGAACAAGGCCCTCTTGAGTCAATTGCCTAGAGGGACGTATCCTTCTCTAGAACAATCGATCAAGGCGTTCTGAACTAGACTCCCTCTATCGAATGAGGTTCTCAATCGATACAAAGCAGTGAATCAACCCTCGACTAAAGCAATCGATCCACTACTATCAATCTATGGTGCTCTATTGACCTATCAGGTATTCGCTCTCATAGGATCAAAGCAGAATCAATAATCTCGACTAAAGCAGAATTGAATCGTGAAAACATGCATAGATTGAATATGAACTCAAGATTATCAAGTCAGAGTACTCATACAATCATCCAATCAAACAAACATAGCTAGGGTTCCTCAAAACCTAAGTGAAGGGAAGTTACTCCATAGAGAAGAGAGAGACTGCAGAAATCTGATCTAGATCTTCAATCTCCATCTCCAAGCTTGATTCCCGAGCTCCAATGGCGAAGAAATCCTCCAAAATAGCTCCAAGAATGTTCCCAAGTCGCTCTCTCTCTCTCTAGGGTTCGTCCCTTGGGTGTTTGGGATCCAAAACCCAGCTCTCCCTCTCCAAAAATCGCAAACCAGCTTTTATACCCGCTGAAACTCGCACCCCCTACTTGCACGGCCGTGCAAATTGAGGTTTTGGCCGTGCAGTCCCCTTGGGAAACCCACACGGCCGTGCAGAATTTCATACAGCCGTGCACAATTTCCAGCATGCACTCCTAAGCTTCGTTGATCTCGTTTGAACTCGTTTGACCTCCGATTCAGTCGCCGTTTGATCCCAGACGCTCGTAGTCTCGTCCTCTTTCTTTTCATAACAAGCTTGCATGATTCTTTGTCCATAAAGTGAGGTAGAAATCCATTCTTCTTCAGGTCATGCCCGAGTTTCTTCTCCCGAATCGTCAATTGATCTCTGATTGACTTGAAACTTGCGCCTATACTTCACTTTATGTGCTAGGACCTGAAATGTGAGAAAGGAACACAAACTAGCATAAAATAGGCCAAAGACACGATAATTCAAGCTGAAACAATCAAGAAACAAAGGGGAAAACATGTGCAAATACCGAGTCATCAATAAACGACTGTCAAGAACAAGTGATCAATCCAAGTCACAGTTGGTAAGCAAACAGTTGAAAAACTGAACCCCTACACAACTCTACTGCACGTTTGAGTCATCATTATAGGTTGTCCTAGTTACACTCTAGTTGTCATGCATTCATTCGAAAGCCATTCGATTCACAAATCAAATCACAGTGCCAATATGATAATGCAAACAACAGTACTTGGAGCCCTCAAATCTCAAGATTTGGACAGTGGATTAGGCTCCAAGCACACACATTCAGCCAAACATTCACACGCATACATAATCGAACATCCCCCCACACTTAAGCACGACATTATCCTCAATGGAGGAAAGATAAGGAGGGTAGAGCGAAGTTACCAGATCAAGGGTGAATGATGGTGGACGGGGCAGGCGGTGCATTCTAGGAGGAGAGCGTATTCGGAACACAAACACCCCAAAAAATCTCACAAAGGTTGAGTTATTGAATCTAAAATCAAAGAACAAAACTGACTCAACCAAGGAGAAATAGAGAAAGAAATGCAAACCGACTGGTTGGGTTGCCTCCCAACAAGCGCTTCTTTCACGTCGTGAGCCGGACGATGGCTCCTAAGCTTCGGTCCACCCCAGAACCTCTTTGAAGTTGAGGTTCTCGTTGATGAGGTGGAGTCTCAAGTCACGAGCATGTGGTATGACAGGTGATGGAAGCTCGTGCACTTGATGCAGATGAAGTCTCCACCCTGGAGACCTCTTCTTCTCTTCTCTCATCTCATTGCTGCAAACCAGATATGACAACATCGATTGACCACCATCGCGTCCACCAAGAGGGACCGATGTCGATGTGGCCCTGGTTTGGCAAAGAGACAATGCAAATGGGTCCTTGCTAAGCAGTTCCCCGAAGTTTGGTGGAGATATCACATGTAACTCATGGCCGGTGCAAGCCTCTTCCACCTCAACTTCGTCCTTGGCCTGGACGCCAATTGCTTCTTCAACCCCCCTTCCTTCTTCATGTGGTATCACCACTGAGAAAAGATCAAGAACTCCTTCTGCTTCACTTTTGTCATCCTCCACAACTTCTTTCTGCACCCTTTCTTGCTCTTCTTCTTCCAGCACGGATTGGAGAGCAAGTCGCCATGCAAGGTTCTCAATAAGTTCAGCTTGCATCTCCTCGCTCGGCCCCAACATGTCAGAGCGTTGTAATCTACCACCAGAGGATACACTTGATCATGATTATCATGAGAGCTTTCCGTGACAACTTCTGTATGCTCCTCAACATCCTCATGATTGCCTTCTTCTTCCTCCTCCTCTACTTGTATGGCAGCATAAAGGTTGTCTTGAGACAACTGTGCACAAGCTTTCTCAATGACCTCTATGTGCTTCTTTATGCTCCGAAGGGTATCCTCTGTTTCATGGGGAAATGAGAAGTCAGTTTGGGCCATGGCCTGGATATGAGGATCCATCTGAGGAAAGGATCTCTCAAGTACTCGAGCAATCTGCTCCATGAGAAGCCTCAAGTGATAGTTTGGATCTGGTTGTGGAGTGTAACATGGCTCTGCCGGATGGCCCGTGAAGGTTGTGGCTAAATCAAGATCTGATAGCCCTTCTGGTTGTGGGAGGAATTCTTCTTGATAAGGAGATTGTTCTTTGTAGTAGGGGTGTTGGTACTGAAACCCGACTCCATAGTCTTCTCCTCCTTGGTTGCTCCAGGAAGTCTCGGGGTAATACCACTCCGGTGGTGGTGGATACCCCCAATGATTGGAGAAGCCATGAGGATCCATGTATCAGATCTGTACCAACAAAAACAAAATACCCAAGTGAAAAGCAAGGGTGGAAAATAGAGGATGCATAAAAGTAAATGCTAAAGTAACAGACTTTCACGTTTCTACAATAACCTAGAGGTCCCCGACAACGGCGCCAAAAACTTGACACGCTAAAACACAACACCAAACTACGACCAAGTGTAATCGCAATCCGGAAATGCAGTAACAGGCAAGTTCTAATATCAACCCGGGGTCTAGATCTACTGCCTACTCCGTGAATATCTATTATCTAGCCAACTAAGTCAAGTGATTGTTGTTTTAACTAAAAGCAGTAAGAAAAACATGAATTGGTTCAACTTTCTGAAGTCAAGGAAGAGTCACTCGGGAATGGGTCCCCCTAGCTCCTTAGTTAGGTTCCAGTTGTGATTACTTTTGGTTGCTTTACTGCTGATTATACTGCGGAAGATCCGACAGTAGCTTGGAATCTCTTAAGCTGACCAAGCCCTCTCAGTCCAACTACCCGACACACGACTAGTCTTCACCAGGATAGAAAGCCGAGGCTATGAACACAGAACTCCACTACTGGAATTATATTCCAGTACAAAGCAGTGAATCGACTAACTCTCATATAATCGATTCACTACTATCAATTGAAGAAGCTCTAACAACCTAATCAGATTCTATCTATCTCAGGTTGCAGCATAAATCAATAAAAGTGATCAGACTTCAATTGACTCAATCAAAACACTTCAATTGATTATAATCAAGCAATATCACAATCCAAACGTAATTACAATCAAGATTCCTAACACATGGAACTAGGGTTCTTCATACCCAAGTGAGAGAGAGTTCTACTCCATAGAGAGAGAGGGGAAAACAGAATACAAAGCAGTCATACTCATAACAATGGGAAGAATCTGCTCTGGGATGTCAATCTTCACTCCTATGATGATCTCCAAACTCGATTTGATGAAACCCAACTCCAAGATCGCTTCTAGGATGTGTTCTTCGCACTTTCTCTCTCTAGGGCTCGGTTTTTGCTCCAAAAAGTCGACTCCCTCTTCTTTGGCTCGAATCTGCCTCAAAACCCTGATTCTAGGCGAATTACGGGCTGAATTACGGTCGTAATTCTTTCATGCCCGTATTTTGCCCAAAACACGCGTTTTGGTTAAGTTTCAGCGCACCCAAAGCTCCTATCGGCAATGAAAATACGGGCATGGGAGGGGAAAATATAGTCGTAATTCTCCTGCCCGTAATTCGCCCTCGTCCAGACTCCGAATCAGTCGCCGTTTGAACCCAGACGCTCGTAGTGTCGTCCTCTTTCTTTTCATAACAAACTTCCATGATAATTTGTCCATAATATGAGGTTGAAATCCATTATTCCTCAGGTCATGCTCGTGTTTCTTCTCCCGAATTGCCAAATGATCTCCGATTGACTTGAAACTTGCGCCTATGCTTCAATTTACATGCTAGGACCTGAAAGGTGACAAAGGAACACAACCTAGCGTAAAATAGTCCAAGAAATCAAAAACTCAAGCCAAAATGATCAAGAAACGAGGGTGCAAACATGTGCAAATACGACGTTATCACTTGCCCTGGAAATCAAGACGATTTCGAACCAGAAAATGTTGCCAGCTGTAGGTTCTATTTGCTATATAGACTATATACTTAAGGATCCTTACAGAAATATTGATGATGGTTTGTTCAACTTGGATTCTCTCTTCTTTGGATGCCTCTTTTTTTTATATAAGATGATCTCATTATAATAATTGGATAGTGAATGAGATACAAAAGCAACAACACAAGGCAAAACATACCTCTTTATTTGCTTTGTTAAAGTTCTTTTTCTTGCTGTGAATCTCATTGATGCATTCCTTACTGTCTATTCGTTTGTGGGGAAGAAACTCTAGCTGATTGGAGTTTATGTTATGTTGAACCGACCTGTAACCTTAAGTAGTAGATATATGTTATGTTTAATTTCTCACCTCACCATTTTTCAGTCAATTTAATTACTACATAATGAGTGCAGGTTCTTTCCTCAGAATTCCATTCTGGTTTTTCCGTCAGAAGTCCTTCAATACATCCCTCTTTACTACTTTTCTCTTTGAGGTAATAGTTGTTTCTGTAACCCTATTATGATGCCTTTGACAACCCACAGAAGAACATCAATGCCTCCAACATTTAGAATTTGTGTGATATAATGATCCATGTATTTGTGGTGGCTTCACAGGTTCCCATAGATACTTTTTCAGTAGTATGTTGCTCCCCAAGACCCCAACTGAAGTGGTTTCATACAAATAATCTGGTGCAATGCACTTTTATTTATGTACAAACACAACAATGTGATATCCTAAAGAACTCAGAAAGTTTCCTGTAAGTGCTAACCACTTTAGATTTGTGGTATGTTCCTTTTATGTTCTCCACTCACTATTTAGATTGAACTGAGTTTTCTCTAGAAAAGCAGTGCTAATGTTTGTGTACATTAGACCTTTTTATTAAACATGATGAACTGTGTTTCATTTTTCTCGAGGGTTACTCTGCTACGATTGTTGGTTTTGAACTGGTGATTTTTGGCCGAGAATATCGGAGTAGGAATTTGCTTAATGACATACATACACTTGATTTGAGAATCAATGGAAACAATGTAAGCAATTTTTATTCTCTTAAAAATTTACGTTGTCCTAAATTATGATTTAAACTCTTATGCTCTGCCTTCACATGAAGTTTTGGTTTTTTAACAGTTCCATTGAACTCCTCTTAGTTTTGGGACTGATTTTGCCTTTTTTGTAACAATTTATGGTTAGTTACTCTAGCTTTTATGCTTTCTTACAGAGTTTTGTAGTTGTAATGCTTTTTTCTTCTTCATGGAATTAATGCTAAGCTGTAATTGTACAAAGGGGTTAGTTACCCTATAGCTTGCTGAACTGTTTCATTTGCTCTAATTGTTGTTGGGGATTTAGGGTGTCATTTCTTGTAATTGATCTTCTCTGTTTGCTAAGCTGTGATTTTACAATAAGGGGTTAATTACAATGTACAATGTACCTAAACGTTTGGTTCATACTGGACATATGCAGGTCACTCTTGAAGTCCCCCTTTATTCTTCAATAAGGGGCTGGTAGGATATAATGATTCCTTACTGCAGTTTTGATTAATGTGATTCAAGTTTCATCCAAAAAAAAAGGATTCAGGTTTTTGTCGAGTTGTTGTAATCATTGATTTTCCTTTGTTTACCTTGAATCTAATTTGATTGGATTATATGTTTTTCGTTGAACTTTCAGATATTTCCAGTTATTGAACTCTATTAAGTTTTTTTTTATGGGAATCTGCGCAAAGCTTTATTAATCAGCTAGAACTGTTACATCATCCAGCGCAGCTAATCAAGCAGAAAAACAGGTGGTCTATCAAACCATATAACAGACTCATCCCAACCAGTTCTCGTATGAGCCATAACATTTGCTGCTTCATTTGCCTTTCGACTAGCATACTTCCAATCCCCTCCTCCTGCCTCCAGCAAAAGCTTCCTAATCTTGCGACACACTACTCCCACTTCAGTTTGAACTTCGTGCGCCCCATTAAGGCTCTTCACAAGATTCATGCAGTCTACTTCAAGGGTAGGTACTCCTAACTGGTGCTGAGCTGCAATTTGTATGCCCATTTCCGCCGCTAAGGCTTCACCCAGCTCTGGGTTAGTCCCTCCTCTTGTGCGTTTAGCTGCTGCCAATAAAAACTTCCCCTCCGCATCTCTAATGACCACACCCAGTCCCATTCCTTCCGCATCAATGCCCACGTCCGTATTCACTTTAATTCGTCCATCTCCGGTCGCTGCCATTGTTGCCGCGCTTCCTGAGCTGGGGGCGTAGTTTCATCTGCTTGATATTGGCGATACTCCTCAGCATAGGTAGCGGCTCGCATAAGGATCTCCTCTTCTGGCAGTTTCATCCCATTATTCAGCTGGGCGTTGTGCTCCTTCCATAAAGACCATAGGAGTACCGCCCAATCTTCAAACTCTGTCGTGGTGGCTTTTTCCAGCACATTCCGCGTCCAGTTCAGGCAGTCTCCATCTTCTCTCAGCTCAAACCACTGGGATAGGTTGGAATTCCTCCATATCCTTCCCGACCAGCCGCATTCCCCGAACAGATGGGCTTGTGTCTCTCTCAAGTTGTTGAATGGGCACGCGTCACCTCTCCTTTCACTTTTAGCGCTGATTCTATCACCAGTTGCCAAGGAATTACGCGCAAACCGCCACATAAAATGTCTTACCTTGGGAGGAACATTCATCTTCCAAATACTGTTCCACACTCTAGCCTCCCCTATCGGTTGGTAGTCATGTGATCTGTTAAACTCTTCCAGCCACTTTCGATACCCATCTCGCACCTCATATTTGCCATTCGCGTTCTCGGCCCATATGAGCTTATCGGCCTCATCCATCCCTCGCAGTGGGATCTGCAAAATGGCTTGAGCCATCGCTGTCGGGAAGCAGCTTTCAATTAATGCTGAATCCCACTGCTCAGGGGTCAATAAGTTCACTAACCTTCGAGTCCACCGGTAACCCCATCGGTGCAGATTGGACAAAATAACCTGGCACAGTTGGGACCCACCGATCACCCCATATCCGCACCTTGTCCCCGTTTCCTATTCGCCATCTCAGCCCGCCACACAGCCACTCCTGTGAGCTCATGAGACTCCGCCACATGAAACTCGGTCGCGGCCCCATCTTTGCTTCCAAAATCTTGGCATGTTTGTGGTACTTGGCTTTCAGTACCTGTGCAATTAAGGAATGCGGCCTTTGGTGTAGCTGCCACAGTTGCCGAGCAAGGAAAGCTATGTTCATGCCTCTCAGATCTCGAAACCCCATTCCTCCATCTGACTTTATGGCGAGCAGTTTCTCCCTTGCTATCCACGGTATTCTCTTTTCATTTCCCTGTTGGCCCCACCAAAACCGCATAATAATACTGTGGATGTCATCAATGATCCCCTTAGGGATTTTGAAGACCGACATCGCATAGTTCAATTGCGCTTGTGCAACGGATTTGATAAGAACCTCACGCCCCGCCACCGACATAGTCTTTTCCTTCCAACCAGACAACTTCTTCCTCACCCGCTCTTTTAAGCTTACAAAGAGCTCTTTCTTGGACCTCCCTGCTTCTGTTGCCAAGCCAAGATACTTGTCATGTTTTTCTACTGTCTTCATTCCTAGCGCTGAGCCCACCTGCAACTTTTGATGTGTTTTGATGCTAGCCCCAAAGGACACCTCCGATTTTTTAAAATTAATCATCTGCCCAGATTCCTTCTCGTACGCCTTCAATATTCGCTTCAACTCCATGCTTTCATTTAGGGTAGCCATGGCAAAAAAGATAGAGTCGTCAGCAAAAAACAGGCGGGAGATGGCTGGGGCACCCCTGACTACTTGTAGCCCATGTAGTTTTCTCTCCTGAACAACCCTCTTAGTGTAAGAGGAGAGCCCTTCCGCCACCAGAAAGAACAAATACGACGATAGGGGGTCTCCTTGTCTGAGACCTCGGCTCGGGGAGAAGACTGGCGATCGGTTTCCATTGACAAGAACGGAATAGGAGACCGTTGTAACACACATCATCACCAATCGAATCCATCTCTCTTCAAAACCCATCTTCCTCATTATCCCTTCAAGAAACCACCATTCAACTCTGTCGTACGCCTTTGCCATATCTGTTTTTGCCGCAAAAAACCCTTTCTTATTCTTCGATTTTATCTTCATAGTGTGGAAGCACTCCAACGCTGTCATAATGTTATCAGCAATGAAACGACCCGGCACAAAAGCACTTTGTTCCGGTGAAATAATATTATCCAAGAACACCTTCAACCAGTTGGCCATTGTTTTAGCAATGATCTTGTAAAGGACATTGCATAAACTAATAGGTCTGAACTCCTTGGTCATTGACGGATCCTTGACTTTCGGAATTAACGCTATCAGCGTATGGTTGAGGTTCGGCGGCATGCTTTCCCTTTCGAAAATTTCCGTGATCAAAGCAGTAACAGCATCCCCCACTATATGCCAAAATTTCACAAAGAACAGTACCGAGAGCCCATCCTCCCCTGGAGCTTTCCTCATCCCCATTTGGCGCAATGCTCCAAATATCTCTTCCCTCGTAAATGGCCGGGTCAATTGATGGTTCATCTCAGGTGTAACACGGGCCTCCACCGAATCAAGAACTGGGGTATGTTCTGGTCTATCACCAGCCGTGAAGAGAGCCCAAAATAATTAAGCAGACAGGAGAAAACATCCTTTGTACCTCTATACCATCGCCCTTCCTCATCTTTTAATTTATTTTATTGTATTTCGCTTCCGTCGTGCAGAGGCTTTTTTGTGGAAAAAATTTGTATTTTTATCCCCACCTCGTAGCCAATCCGCCCGAGACCTTTGTTTCCAGAATAGCTCTTCATCACATTCCACCTCCTCTAGTTCTGACTGCAATTGTCGTTTTGTTGCAAAACCATCTCTGTCTTGGGGGTTCTATCCAACACTTGAAGCGCTCGACGGATTCGTCTCTTCTGCTTCCCAAAGTTTGGGAACACGGCTCGGCTCCAGTCCAGCAATTTGTCACGTACTTGTTCTATTTTTGTGAACACACCGCCGCCCGATGCATTCCAAGCCTCTTCTACTACACGCGCACAGTCACCATGTTTTTCCCAATGAGCCTCAAAGTGAAAGGACCAGCCCCACTTCACTTCCTCATCTGCTTCACCAAGGCTGTCACACATAACAGGTCGATGATCCGATCTTACTGGCTCCCTATTCAGTACACGTGCGTTTTCGAACAGTTCCATCCAGCCATCATTTGCCACGAAACGATCGAGCCTCTCCTCTATATACGCCCCCAGTTCTAGACGGTTTTTCCAGGTAAAGGCATATCCTTCAAATCCGAGATCATTCAACCCTGTATCTAGTAGGCATTCCCCGAATTCTGCCATCTCACCTTCATTTGCCTCATTGCCGCCCCTTTTTTCACTCGAGGTCAGAATTTGATTAAAATCACCGCCGCATAGACACGGTCCAGCCCATTGGTTTGCTAGCCGACGTAATAGGTCCCATGTCTGAATCTTCTCTCCCGCTTCTGACCACCCATAAATCCCAGTAAATCGCCACACTATGTCTCGCCCTTCCTCAACTCGTGCGTCCAGAAAATGGAGGGAGCCATCCATCACTGTTAAATTAACATCATCCTTCAACCATAAACAGAGTCCACCCGCCCGACCTCCATTAGAGGTATCTGCTGGCCAAATCTTACCTTTCTTGTAGCCCAAGCTCTCTCTAGTTATTGCATTCTCATCTTCCAGATGACGTGTTTCCATTAAAAACACAATACTCGGGGAAGTTTGCCGCAGAAGCGACTTTAAAGCTCTAACTGACCGTGTATTCCCCAGACCACGGCAGTTATGGCTGAGGATTCTCATCTAATACCCAAAGGGGATAGGTTCCCCGCACCCTCATTATGTTTTTTTGGGTTGCTCC